CCCACTACATAGATGTTTCCTATCCAGAGAAACTAGTTGTCACTGGATTTCTTTTTGCCTAGTCACCACCACAGGCAATAGGACTCTGTACAGTGGCAAGAGAGGGGAAGGAACCGGAAGTTAATTGGAAAGGGATCAGGGCACCTGGGTGGCTCAGTGGTTGAGCATCTGCGTCCTGGGATTGAGTCCCTCATCAGGCACCCCACAGGGAGCCTGCTTCTCCCTCTGCCTATGTCTCTGCCTCTCTCTGTCTCTTATAAATAAAATCTTTTTAAAAAATTGGAAAGGATGTTTACATCAGGATTAGGAGGGCTTCTGAGGGCTGCATCTGTGTGATACTGCTATTGTTTGAGTTCTGTTATGCCAGATAACCCATCTGAATTCTTCATGACACTGATTGATGTCAGTGATTAAATTGAATTGAGTAAGAGTGATGAGAGAGGCCACCTTGCCTTGTTCCTGATCTCAGGGGGCGTGCGCTCAGCTTCCCATCTCGCACCATTTATGTAAATGCTACCTGTGGGTTTTTGGTAGATGCTCTTTATTCAGTTGAAGGAGTTCCACTTCATTCCTGTTTTGGGGGTTGGTGGGGGTGGGAGTTTTTTACCCCTTGAATGAGTGTTGAGTTTTGTCAAGTGCTTTTTCTGCACTGATTGATATTATCTTGTGATGTTTCTTTTTAGACTATTAATGTTGTGGGTCACATTTATTGATTTTTGAATATTTAACCAACCTTGCATCCCTGGAATGAATTCCATGGTCTATGATGCTTTAAAAATATTGCTGAACTTTATTTGCTAATATTTTGTTAAAATTTTGTGCATCTATATTCATGAGGGCTGTTGGTCTGCAGTTTTCTTTTTTAAGACTCTCTTTGTCTGGCTTCGGGGCTGGGGTAAGAGTGATTTCATAAAATGAGTTTGACGGCTGTCCCTCCTTTCATTTTCTCTAAGGGACTATAAAGAATTGGTATTGCCTCTTCCTGAAATATTTGATAGCATTCTCCAGCAAAACCATATAGGCCTGGAGATTTCTTTTTCACGAGTTTTAAATTTAGAAATTCAATTTCCCTAATAGTTATAAGGCTACTCAAATGGTCCGTTTCCTACTGGGTAAGTTGTGGTAGTTCTTGTTTTCGGGAGAGAGTTGGTTCATTTCACATCTAATTATCAAACTTATATGTGTAGAGTTGCACAGAGTATTGCTTTATCATCTTTTTCTTATAATAAATTTATTTTTATTGGTGTTCAATTTACCAACATACAGAATAACACCCAGTGCTCATCCTGTCAAGTGCCCCCCTCAGTGCCCGTCACCCATTCACCCCCACCCCCCGCCCTCCTCCCCTTCCACCACCCCTAGTTAGTTTCCCAGAGTTAGGAGTCTTTATGTTCTTTCTCCCTTTCTGATATTTCCTCTTTTTGCTATCTCCAGGGGCTGTTATGATATCCCCTGATATTGGTAATTCGTGTCTTCTCTCATTTTTTTCTGTCAATCTCGCTAGAGGTTTGATAGTTTTATTGATCTTACCAAAATGCCATCTGTTTCTTTGCATCACCTTCAGCCACCCAGGAATCTCCAGATCAGCTACTTCCTTCTTTTCAATTCTTGTCTCTCCATTCTACATTGCATAGTTAACATTTTGTTTCATTTGCAATTACCCATTCCAGTGGCCTTTCCTGCTCTCTTCTGTTTCTTGGCAGGCTCTCCATTACTGTTTACCCTCCTTTTCAGCCTGGCTTTTAAAAGGTGACCACATCTTACTGGTATCTCTAGAAAGTTTAATTTTTACCAAGACTGGCTTGTATTTTCATTGCACAAAGCAACTGTAAGTTCTAAGTAGAACCATTAAGGGTACATTGTAGAGAACTTGCCTAATCAAAAATGAAAAGAATTGGGTAACTGTCAACTTAGAAGATATGTGAGTATACAACACCATGATATACTGGAAAGTATACCACACTTGGCTGTACAGTACTTGGTTCAAGTCCTGGCTCTGCCACTTACAATCTCAAGTATAGGCAAGGTTGCTGTACATTGTTCAGTTTTGCCCAATAAGTAAGGCCTTGTGAAGCCACCAGGTAGATCCAGGAGGATCTTGAAATAGCGCAAAGCTCCCCAAAACTGGCTATGCCCCACTTGTCATCACTTGGAAGTGGCAGAATTGGCCCAGGTTGCTGCCTTTTGGCCTTATTTTCACTCTACCCAGCATGGTCCAGTCAGATGATTCACTGTCACAGGAACAGTGTCCCTTGAACATTGCTATTTCTGTAGCTGTGCTTCTGGAATCTTCTCTACCTAGAAAATTCTCTACGGTTTTCTCTCCCAGTTTGAATTCTTACCACTCTCCAGGACTAGATCAAGTGCCCCTTGCCCAGCTAAGTCTTCTCTGACCATCCCAGCTCAAACTGATGGTCCCTCTGAACTCCAGTAGGAATCACTACCAATGCCATCAACTGAACCCTTCAGTAGCTTTATCTCTGGACACCATAAGGGTTAGGAATGCAGGCTCTTCTCAAGGCACATCTGGGCTTCAATCTTGGCTTTGCCATTTCCTAGATACATGCCCTTAGACAACTGGCTTCATCTCCCTGAAACTTAGTGACCTCTTCTGCAAAATGAGATCACCTCTGCCTGACAGGGCTGTTGTGAGGATCAAATAAAATGTCTTAAAAGCTATTAAGGTCCAAATAAATATAAAGGATATTTTTAATGTAATAATAATTAAAAGTCAAGGTTAGATGACAAAATATTCATAAAATAATGTTATGATAGGAGAATTAGAAGTGTACCTGGCTGGCTCAGTTGATAGAACATGTGACTCTTGATCTTGGGATTTTAACATTGAGCCTCTCATTGGGGATAGAGACTACACAAAAACATTTAAAAAAAAACATTGTTAGGAGAATTACAAAACTATAAGTAAAGTAAGAAAGATCCCTGTGTGTGTGTGTGTGTGTGTGTCTCTTCACAAATACATATGTAAAAAGAGTGGGAAGACATGCTTTATAGAGACGCCTGGGTGGCTCAGTGGTTGAATATCTGCCTTTGGCTCAGGGTGTGATCCCAGGTCTGGGGATCGAGTCTTGCATCGGGCTCCCTGCAGAGGAGCCTGCTTCTCCCTCTGGCTATGTCCCTGCCTCTCTCTCTGTCTTTCATGAATAAATAAATAAAATATTTTTTAAAAAATGAAGATATGCTTTATAATGTTACTCTGATGATGGTTAGCTCTGAGTGATGGCTAATCATTGGTTTTTATTTTCTTTTCTATAATTTTCATTTTTAGGATAAGAATGTAATATGTTTAGAACTAGAAAACATTTTTTAAAAATATTTTATTTATTCATGATAGGGAGAGAGAGAGAGAGAGAGAGAGAGAGAGAGAGAGGTAGAGACACAGGCAGAGGGAGAAGCAGGCTCCATGCAGGGAGCCCGATGTGGGACTTAATCCCAGGACTCCAGGATCACGCCCTGGGCCAAAGGCAGGCGCCAAACCACTGAGCCACCCAGGGATCCCTAGAAAACATTTTTTTAAAAAGATTTTTATTTATTTATTCATGAGAGACACAGAGAGAGAGAGAGGCACAGACACAGGCAGAGGAAGATGTAGGCCCCATGCAGGGAGCCCGATGTAGGACTTGATCCTGGGTCTCCCTGCATGGGGCCTACATCTCCCCTGAGCTGAAGGCAGGTGCTAAACCGCTGAGCCACCTGGGCTGCTCATAAAACATTTTTTAAAAAGAAAAATCAAGCGTGATGTTATGTTATTTAGTTATTTAGTTATTTAGTTTAGCATTTAGTTATTCATATATACTCTACCATACTTCAGAACGAGTTTAAAGTGCCATATAATATAGCAAAGTAAAAATGGAATATAAAACAAAATGAAGCAAAGGAGAAAATGAGAGTAGGAAAGATAGTATTAGTGACGCTGTTAAACATTTATCATCACCATCTTGTATTTATCTTATGTGTTTGTTTTTTTTTTTTTAAGAAAGAATGTGGGGCAGCCTGGGTGGCCCAGTGGTTTAGCTCCGCCTTCAGCTCAGGGAGTGATCCTGGAGACCCAGGATCCAGTCCTGCATTGGGCTCCCTGCATGGAGCCTGCTTCTCCTTCTGCCTGTGTTTCTGCCTTTCTCTGTCTCAGTGTCTCTCATGAATAAATAAATAAAATCTTTTAAAAAAAGAAAGAATGTGTTAGGATATCTCTTAATTGTGAGTTTAATAGCTAAGATTAACTGTAAAAGAAAGCATTTTATCACTCAATGTCATGATGTTAAAATGATACATAAAAGAAAGAAGAATTTTCTGCCAGTTTTTTTTAAAGATTTTATTTATTTATTCATGAGAGTCACAAAGAGAGAGAGAGAGAGAGAGAGAGAGAGAGAGAGAGAGAGAGAGAGAGAGGCAGAGACACAGGCAGAGGGAAAAGCAGGCTCCATGCAGGAAGCCCAATGCAGGACTCGATCCCGAGACTCTGGGATCACGCCCTGAGCCAAAAGCAGACGTTCAACCACTGAGCCACCCAAACGTCCCTTTCTGCTAGTTTTTAATGTGTTAGAGATTCTGATTATTTTATTTTTGGCACAGTAGAGAGCCCCAAGAAAGGATGGTTGCTGTTATCTATATTATACTTGTACAGTAACTTATGAGTTACAAATATATATATATTTGGTTAGTGTTGGCTTTACTTATCTGTTTTGATTAAGTTGAGTGGAGAGACAAGACTGGAGTAAAGAAACAAGCCTGAATGGAGTGAAGTTCTTACCCTGGGCCTGCCATTCATTAGCTAGGCCTTACCTCCTTAGAAATTGAGGGGTCCTGGACAAGAAGATCTATCTGGAGTTTAGCAAAACTATATTTTCACTTATTGAGGAATGTACATTTCCATTGATCATTCTATTTAACAATATCTACTGTATGTGAGTTGACCTGTGTAATAAAATGTTCCTCTTAGATTTCTATGACATTAACATAATTTACATGTCTTTCATTCACAGAGAGACCTCTCTCCCCCAAGGCTGTCAAAGGATTTGAAACAACTCCACTTACCAAGAACTATTATACTGTGGTGAGTGTTCAGATCATAACCAAAAAGTTTCTTGACTGTATGGAAACTTTTCAGTGGCTGAGCCACTGATGTGTCGAGTAACACTTATGGGAGACTGGGTAAAGTATTGCAAAGGTCTCATGTCAGCTGCACTACAGTAAAGCTCTTCTGCTTGTAGGCCTCTTACAGATGTCTAGAAGTTTTAGATTCACCATACTGAAAAATTCACAAATGGTACAGTGATTCTGAGCAAGGGCTATTGAACAGTGCCGAAAGAGAAATTGGTCCATAGGTAGGCATCATGGGGAAATTCAGCAGTAGATATAGCTTTACCAAATATTTAGAAGGTGAATTCCCAGGTTCCTCTAAGCAGTAAGTTTTAAGTGATTGCATACTGTGATTTTATTTTAGAATAAATCAATCCATTATGATGTCCTCTGAAATATGATCAACCTTGTGTTCGAGGAGAGCCTGAAGGGAAGACTGCCCTTTGGCAAAAAGCAAGGAATTAAATGGCTCTGGCTTGAACACAGATATGTCAAAATCTATTAGCTATAAATAGGGCATGTGCAATATTCAAAATAAGTTCTCATTTGAAAAAAATCATATTATTCTCCTCAGTCTTCTCTCTGCTTTTTTCATATCTACTTTCCAGACTTAGCCCAGTCACTAATGAAAAGGTCAAGTTATCATAACCTCTAAGTTTTCCTGTCTGATAGCTTTGTCATCATCCTCCACCTCAGCTGAAATAGTGTCACTTTCCCCCCAATATTGGATATGCATTTGGACTGCATACTGCTTTCATTTTGTGCATGGATAGTTTTTAAACATCTCTATACATTGCGTTTCAGAAAACAGATTTGCACTCTTCAGTGAATTTGCTCCATAATGATGACGTGGGCGGGGCGATAGTTGGCATGAAAACTCAGGAAGTAGCTTCATAGGTGACATGAAAAATAATCATAGGGGACAATTTTGTCACTATTTTTCTTCTTACATTTACACTATTTTCCTCTTACATTGGGTTAAAATCTATTACCCAACAGAGCTGGGCTCCCTTCTTCCTTCCTCGTGATCATTTCTTTTAGCCTCCAAGTGACCCCAGTGATTTAATTTTTTAAGACATTATCTATCTATCTATCATCTATCTATCATCTATCTATCTATCTATCTATCTATCTATCTATCTATCTATCTATTTGAGAGAGAGAGAGAGAGCATGCACAGGCCAGGGGAGGGGTAGAGGGGGTGGGAGAGGGCGAGGGAGAGAATCTCAAGCAGATTCTGCACTGAGTGCAGGGCCCAACAGGGACTCCATCTCACAACCATAAGATTATGGCCTGAGCCCAAACCAAGAGTGTGACACTTAACTGAGCCACCCAGGCACCCTACCTCAGTGATTTAATTTTTTAAAAAGATTTATTCATTATTTTAGAGAGAGAGAGCATGCACACACACACACATTTGCACAAGCAGGGGGAGGGGCAGAGGGAGAGAGAGAGAAGTAAACTTCCCAGTAAGCATAGAGCCCGACACAGGGCTTGATCCCATGACCCTGAGATCATGACTTAGGCCAAAATCAAGAATCGGACCCTTAAACGGTGGAGCTACCCAGGTGCCCCTCCACAAGTGACTTAAATTTTAAAGAAAAGATGCAGTCAAATGAGGGATGAAAATGCTACCATAGCTTCTTTTCCCTGTGGATTTGGAGTATACCATAGAGCTGCTTTGGAGTTGTCTCTGCTTCTGTGGATTCTACCAATTTATTTATTTATTTTAGTTTTTATTTAAATTCCAGTGAGTTAACATATGGTGTGCTATTAGTTTCAGGTGTACAATTTAGTGATTCAACACTTCTGTACATCAGCTGGTGCTCATCACAAGTGCCCTCCTTAATCCCCATCATCTGTTTCACCCATCCTCTCCCCGCCCTGCCCCGGGAAGCCTCAGTTTGTTCTCTGTGGTCAAGTCTGTTTCTTGGCTTGCCTCTCTCTCTCTCTTTTTTTACTTTCCTCATTTGTTTTATTTCTTCAATCTCACATATGAGTGAAATCAGATGGTACTTGTCTTCCTCTGACTGATGTATTTAACTTAGCATAATTACTCTCCAGCTCCGTCCATGATGTTGCAAATGGCAAGATTTCATTCTTTTTTTGTGGCTAATATTCCTGTGTGTGTGTGTGTGTGTGTGTGTGTGTGTATCTCAAAAAGTTAAAAATAGAACTACTTTATGATCCAGCAACCACACTACTGGGTATTTACCCAAAGAATACAAAAAACACTAATTCAAAGGGATACATGCACCCCTATTTTTATAGCAGCATTATTTACAATAGCCAGGGTATGGAAGCAGCCCAAGTGTGCACTGATGGATGAATGGATAAAGGTGGTATATACATAAATGATTCTACTGATTTAAAATGTCATTGGGATTATCCAAGGCACATTAACCTCTGTGATTCTTATGGGCCTATGTAAACCATATATATACTTATACACAAATTCTGATGTCCTGCAATTTATATCTCCCAGTTCCTATTGGAGTTCGTGTGCATTGCTTCTAGTTCCCTGCTGCTATATAAACAGTTCTGCAGTGAAGATCTTATCATAGGACGTTGGCAAAGTATATGAAGATCTATAGAGTAGATTCCTAGAAATTAAATTTTCCGAAGGCCTGAGAACCAGGAGAGCCAATGGTGTAAGTTCTAGTCCGAGGGTAGGAGAAGACTGATGTTTCAGCTCAAGAAGTCAGGCAGAGAGAATGATTCTCCTTCCCTCTCCCTTTTTGTTCTATTCAGGCCCTTAACAGATTGGGTGATGCCCACTCACATTGGGGGTGGACAGTCTGCTTTAATCACTCTACCAATTCAAGGGCTCATGTTACCTGGAAATGCCCTTACAGACACACCCAGAAATAACGTTTAAGCCAGGTACCTTGTGACCCAGTGAGGTTGACATGTAAAATGACATGTAAAATTAACCATCACATCCTAAAAACATGGGCAGGAGACCTCTTGGATTTGCAAGTCTGTAGAAATCGTGTCCCCCTTTTCAAGTTTCCAAGGGATCATCTTCTGATTCCTGCCCTACTCAGGCTTTGATGCAATTTGGGTAGCACATCTGATTTGAAATGTAACTTGATGTTATGTGCTAGGAAGTATTTTAAAATAAAGAACAACAGCAACAATTGGAACAAGAAAGGAAAATGGTAATGTTGTGAGAGGAGGGTTGTTAAAGAGCTTGACTGTGGTGATCATTTCGCAAGGTGTACTTCTATCAAAATATCAAGTTATATACCTCCAATATATATACTTCTTATTGGTCAGTTGTACCTCAGTAAAACTGAAAAAACAAAGAACAGAAAAAGGAATCCAAGTGGCTTTGTTATCAGGCTTAATTTGCATTGTGGCACTTAGCTCTTAGCACCCATGGCCTCACTGGGAAGGCGGGGCAGACGTGATAGTGTAAGGCATGTGGCAGAGATGTCACATTATAAAAGTATCCTAAGATGGGTTCCTTACACTGTGCTTGAGGTCTTGTGCATCAGAAGCCCCCGGGGAGCTTGTTAAATGTGCAGGTTGTGGGCCCCACACCTGACTTACTCTACCTGAGAATCTCTGGCCGCAGAGCTCAGGAAACCTGCAGCCCCTTCCTCACCCCTACCACCCCCCACAGGCGATTCTGAAGCTCACTAAACTGAAGTTGGAGAACCCAGCAAGGGAAAGGTTCAGTGGAAGACGAGACTCAGTCATGTCCAGACCTAGATAAGCAGAGAACAGCTGGAAGGGAGTTGGGGCACTGGGACTATACAGGCACGTCCGACCAGGCAGGAATGTGCATGCCTGCAGTCCCTCCCCTCAGGTCACAGAGTGGATAGGACTCTCTTCTTCACCCATCAAAATGCCCCTGGGAAGCTGCAGTGCTTTATTCTTTGCAACCAGTGTGGCACACGGGAAGAATGCTGTCCTTTGTGCTGCCATATGCAGTGATCCAAATATTCAATTCTGCATGCTAGCATCCATCTGCAGAGGGAGAGATGGTGTCTCCCTACATCCAAACAGGAAAATTCAATCTGTAATGGCCAGCATTATTTATTTTTTTCTCTAGTTTTCTTCTACTTCACGGTTACTTGTGGCAGATGCCTACAAGGGTATGTCTTAAAGAGCCTACACTCAGTAGGAAAGGTGGGGAGTGTGTGGCATGTGACATCACAAAAATCCCAGGAAACCTCCTGTAATATCTGCCCTTACTGCCTGCTTTCTGCTTACTCTATTTATTCTCTTACTCATCTATCTGCCCACTTGCTCCCACCCTGAATTTTCTCTTTCTAGTGCTTATCAACTCCTTACCCCCCTCTTTTTAATACTTTATTTTATAGAGCAGTTTGGGGTTTGCAGCAAAATTGAGCAGAAGGTACAGAGAGTTCTCATATACCCCCCACAGCCACGCACATGCACAGCCTCACCCACCACCAGCATCTCCCACCAGAGTAGTGTATTTGTGACAACTGAAGAATCTACACTTTCACATCATGATCATCCAAAGTCCATAGTTTACATTAGGGCTCACTCTTGGTCTTGTATGTTCTTTGGGTTCGGGCAAATGTATAATGGCATGTATCATCCATCATTATGTTATCATACAGAGTATTTTCACTGTCCTAAAAATCCACTGTGCACCTTCCCTTTTTAATTTTTTTTAAAGATTTTTTAAAAGATTTTATTTATTTATTCATAGAGACACACACAGAGAGAGAGAGGCAGAGACACAGGCAGAGGGAGAAGCAGGCTCCATGCAGAGAGCCTGATGTGGGACTCTATCCAGGGTCTCCAGGATCACGCCCCGGGCTGCAGGCGGCGCTAAACCGCTGCGCCACCAGGGCTGCCCTAAAGATTTTACTTATTCATGAGAGACAGAGAGAGAGGCAGAGACATAGGCAGAGGGAGAAGGAGGCTCCCCATAGGGAGCCCGATGTGGGACTCAATCTTAGGACCCTGGGATCATGACCTGAGCTAAAGGCA